GCAGTGTTAAAAGCTGGAAAAGTGTCATAGGAAATCAGTCTTTATGCTTGCTTTGTTCTTACACTTTTTCCACAGACATCTGCTGCTTGGCTGGACCTTGGCTGTTTTTACAGGCATGGTGTGCCTTATCCCCTCATATTGACAGCTTTCTGATAGAAGGTGTTGAGAAACCTGTTGCTTCTATAGCACATTGCATTTTAGGTCCATTTTGTTGGTGGTACATGTAAATGTAGCTTTAGGGTTCTTGCTTCTTTGTTCCTAACGCACTGGTGAGACACTGAGCTTTAAATGGCTTTGAAGCTGTGTTCTCTTGGATTTATGTATGAAGTATATCTAGTGCCTCTCTAGCGCTGATTGTACCAGATAGGGTCACCAACCACATGACACTTGAAGGCTCTTTTTGAAGGCCTTGCAAGTTTCTCCAGGGATGGATATGCTTCTCCAGGACACCGGCCTGCAAAGGTGAAGCTTTTCAGTGCATTTTTCTTGGCTGAGTGAAGTCTTACGTGAAGCTGCATGGTGTGCCCTGGATTCTATAGCAGCTGGACTGTGGTGGATGTTTGTGAGGGTTCCTGGTTTATTTTGGATTCTTAAAATAATTCACTTCTGCTTATTTGCGCTTTGCTTCTCTTGCAGAACTGAAATCCTCCCTCATTGGAAAGAAGAAGCCAGGAGCTGCCAAGAAAGGGGTATGTTGGAGCTCCTATTTTCTGGAGAGGCAGCAGAGCACATCTCGTATTACCGCTGTCCTTTCCCTGAGCCCTTCCTTTCTGCCCTTAACCATGCTGCCTACTGAGAGATACATGTAGGGAAGGCAGAGCTTTATCTCATTGCCTCTTTCAAAAGGTAGCTTTTATATTAATAGAAAAAAAATAGGCTTTGGATCATTACTTGTTATGGTCTAGAGTGTACTGTGGCTGATCTCTTAGCACTTGCTGCTGGAGGGTTAACTCTTGTGTGTTTTTCCATGTTTTGCTGCAGGCAGTACTGTGCCTACACAGGGAGACTGACTTTTATGTGGGCTTTTTGTTGTTTGTTTTTAAGTTGGGTGCCAAAAAAGGTCTTGGAGCCCAGAAAGTGAGTAGCCAGAGCTTCAATGAGATTGAGCGGCAAGCTCAGGTGGCAGAGCAGCTGAGGGAGCAGCAGGCAGTGGAGTCCAGGAAACAAGCTGAGGAGTCCATGTAAGTGCCCTGTTTGTTCTGAATACCTTTCATACGTAAATCAGAGGTAATGTGGCTGATGCTATTCACTCCAGGCCCACCTGATATGAAAACATCCTGCATAGTAGGATGAGCAGTAACCGTAAGCCAAAGTGGTCCTTATAACAAGGCAAAAGTTATACCTCTGCGAAAACTTTTACCTCTGGAAGAGTGTAAGGAGCAGACGTGGAAGTATTTGATTTTATTTTTTTTCTGTTGACCTTGGGACAGGATTGAGGAAGCAAAAGGCCGAACTGGATGAGGTGTTCCTGTACCTATGTCTGGGGGTGGGGAAGCAATGCCTACACCATGGAAATCAAAGTTGGCTAGAAAAGAGTTTTATCTCAGAGTAAGGGAGATGACAGGCTTCTGTGAAAGGATTTTTGTCTGAGCTGTTGTGGCAGCTGGTGTTTTGAAGGGTTATCAGGATAGTTTTGCCCTTTTACGGTGTAGGCTGGGCTGAGGGAGAGGGTAAAGAGCTGGATCTCACCACACTTCTTTCCTTTAGAGTCACCTCAATGCGACTGGCTTATCAGGAACTGCAGCTTGATCGAAAGAAGGAAGAGAAAAAGCTTCAAAACCTTGAAGGGAAGAAGCGTGAACAAGCGGAGAGGCTAGGCATGGGCTTGGTGTCAAGAAGGTACAGTTGTGAATGGCATAGGACAGATGGAGGTGCTTTGGAACCGCCCTGCTCTGGAATAATTTCCTGAGCAGTAGCTTGCTGCTCCTGTGGTACAAAAGGAGCTTGTATGCTGGACTGTGTCTAAAAACGCTTTGGGCCCCAGAAGGAATGGAACCTGTTCAAAGGTTCTAGTTCTCATTTGAGCTTTTCCAAAGGTGATTATGGCTGGTGAGTGCCTAGTTCTAGAGCCTTGCTGCTTGACGCATGTCCCTGTGTAGGCAGATATGTCCTCCTATCACCTTTAAGAAGATGACTTGGAACTTCTAAGGGAGTCAAGCCAGATATGTGGTGAAGGTTTCCCACAGCTCTCACTTTAGGCTTGTGGCACTTGCTTTGTCTGTAAAGACGATGTTCAGTTGTGAGGGATATAGGGTGTAGCAGCTGGAAGCAGTCATACTTTTCAGCCCTAACTGCCTGTTTCTTGTGCTAGTTCTGTTTCACACTCAGTGATGTCTGAGATGCAAGTAATTGAGCAGGAGACGCCACTGGCTGCAAAGTCTTCCCGCTCCCAATTGGACTTATTTGAAGATGGTGGAGGCTTCACATCTGGACCCCCCAAGTAAGACTGAGATTCAGTGTAGTCATTGGCTTATTCCCAGACACAACATCGGTCCTAAATTACCCATTTTTGATATCTAGGTACAAATATAATCCCTTCTCATTTGAAGATGCCTTTGGCTCACGATGGGAAACAGACTCTTCATGGGGTATGGACAAAGACGAGGAATCAGAGGTGACAGTTTCCAGTATTCGGCCAATTTCAGAGAGGTAAACCAACCACTACTGCTTCTGTACTTTCTTTGTGTAGGACTAAGGTATAGGTGTAAGAGCTGTAGGAGAGATGCTACTGTATTTTGACAGTATCTGAGCCTTGTAGTGCAGAAGATAACATGCATAAATGACCCTGAGAAAATGAGCCTTCACTGAAAGACTCGTTCATTTCTATGTCTGTTGCATCCCAGTCTTTATAGTCATCAAATTTAACTGCCCTGAAGAGGGGAGAGGAGATCCCTGATAGTAGCTAGTGCCTGGGGCTTTGTTGCTTTTCTTTAATCAGATAGGATCTGAGAGAGAAGTCTTCTCTTACTGATTTGGTGAGTTTAAGCTATCTTCTGTTGTGTCCTCAGGCCTACCAGTAGGCGGGATATGGAGAACAGGACATCAGTTGTGGAATCTAATGAAGCTCGGCAGAAGTTTGCAGGAGCTAAAGCCATCTCTTCAGATATGTTCTTTGGGCGGGAAGCAGATGCTGAGGTACATGCACTCTACAGTGCTTAAGTTGATACAGCTCTGGCTTCATCTTCTCCTGTTTGCACAGGTTGTACCCTTCCTTTACATTTTTTGTCCTTTCTTCTGCAGTATGAAGCCAGGTCCCGACTACAGCAGCTCTCGGGCAGCAGTGCTATCAGCTCCGCAGACCTGTTTGGGGAGGCTGAGAATGCACACTCAGGTTCGTTAATGCTGGGGAGGGGGGGGGTGAAGGCAGCTCTGGAAGACCTAGACTGGGGAGGGGTCAGGGCGCTCTCTGGTGCTGGGGAATTCCAGTCTTACTTGTGCTGCTTCTCGTAGGTGGTGTATCAATTGGAAACGTTCTGCCTGCTGCTGATATCGCACAGTTTAAGCAAGGAGTGAAGACAGTTGCTGGCAAGATGGCCGTCCTAGCCAATGGAGTGATGAACTCCCTCCAGGTGAGGTTATGCAACAGTACCTTCACGTAGGCTCTAGTCATGCTCAGGTGCTTTAACCATATCTTGACTTCCACTGGGATTACTACTGTCTTCTCAGATTGCATGGAAAGTCCCAGGTACAGATGCACCTTTTGTATCTGAGGACTTAATAACTGAGCAATTCCAGGTGGCCAGTGAACACTACTTGGACAGCCTTACACTTTTGCTGGACAGGTTGTCATATTACGTCTGTTATGTCACACAAATCCTGGGTGGAACTTAAAATTTGAGTGCATTTTACCTCTTATTTTGGCATGTTTTCTGTCTTGATGTAAATTTTCACTGATCTCTTATGTCTTGTTTGTGTTCCAGTCCCAAACACCCTAAGACCTTGTTGTTTGCCTCTTAAGAGTTGGTGCAGTGTTGCAGCATGGTGACTTGGTGTGTTTCCTCCCCAGGATCGTTATGGCTCATATTGATGACCCAAGGACTGCAACTCACAGGGAAGCCAGCAAGAGGCACTGATGCCACTTTTGCCTGGAGTACACTCTGCAGGATTGTCTTAGTTTATCTGGGGTGGGTGGGGAAGGGAGAAGGAAAGCAGAAGGGTTCAGCATGTGGCTGTACACAAGGATGCTTTCCAAATATCTCTGGATTCCACACTGCATTAAAATTCAATGTGCCCTCAACCCACTGCTACTTACTAGCCAGTGGAGACTGGGATAACCTCCCTGCTGTGAAAGATAAGATGGGAACTCCTGTGGCTGCCCTCATCAGTGCTGCTGTCCTTCTTAGCCCATACCTTAGCTCACCATGTTATAGAGGAAATGGGGATGCTGTATTTCTGAATGTGGTGTTACCTGATCCTCATGGACATGACTGTGGTTTCTTGTTCTGCTCAGTGCTTCTATTGCCTGTTTCCACGCAGGCTGCTGTTGCAGTTCACATCACTGGTAAGACATTTTCAGCTGCAAGGTTCTAGTGTGCATGGTAGTCCATGGTGTCACGGATTCCTCTATATTTTCAGGGTCTGCTTTGTACCATGGGATAATTTTTCCTATTGTCTTGTAAACCAGCATGTATTGATGCAGGAGAACAAATCAAAGCAAAGATTATTTTTTTAGCTTCTAATCACATCAACAACAACAGCAAAGTCCCAGGTACTGAAGTATGGTAAGGATGTTTGCTGGACCGCTGGCTAGTGTGTTGCTCAGCTATACTTTACTTCCAGACTTGGACAGAGAGAAAAATCCTGACCTCTGACTTAACCGAAGTGTGTTGTGGGTGAGGGGGGCTGCATGAGGACTGTTATTTTTGTCCTGCTCAGGTTGACTCTTTGCTCCTGACTGTGTTTTTAACAAGAGCTATTTTCAGGTATCTTTGACTATGCAGTTGAGGATGGAATAGCCCTTTATCCCCTATTAAGTGCTCTACAGTTGAAAAATAACTGTATTAGCAAAACAAGAGGCTGGGTCTTTTTATTCTGTGGGTTCCCATCAACAAACCTCCTCCAGGGCTGAGTCCCAACCTTGTGCCATCTTTTCATAGACCTGGGCCAGATTTGTGTGGTGGGAGCCAGAGGGGCTGCGGTACCAGCAAGTCCTGCTGCCTCAGCAGCTGCCCTGTCTCTACCTGCATGGTGAAGCCATATGGCTGCCTGGAGAGTGGGAGAGGCCTGAGCTTCCCTCTGCCGTCACCTCAGTTCCCCACCACGTGGCTGGAGGCAGACAGAGGCTTGAGAGGGGAGCAGGCAGAGTGAGCCCTGGGGAGGGCGCGGAGCAGCGCAGAAGAGCCCAGAGATGGTGGAGACCTTACACAGCAGGCTTTATTCTCCAGCTTTGGTTGTCACTTGGTGGGTGGGAGTGAACGTGCAGTTAAAGGGCATGCTAATAAATAATATAATAAATAAATAACACCTCCCACTACCTCCACAGCTAGGTCAGCAGTAGTGAAGGGATTACTCTTAAAATAGTTACAGTATGTGCTGAATCCAGTCAGCTTAGGGCAGCAATAAGCTTTGGGTTAACAGCTGTTAGTAGCCCATGCCATGTAGTGTTTTATGGGAGGGAAGAGCAAGGAGGTTCCCCAAGACTCATAAGAAACCAGTGTCTCAGTCTATGCAAGCCATAGCACAGGAGCGCAGCTAGGGAAGGGTTCAGGGCTGCAGCAGCCAGGCTGTGGAGTTAGCATTACCATTAACACAATGAAGTTACAACTCCTTCTGTAGCTGTTCGTGCCACACTGTGGTGCTGCAATACCAATATTTACAAAAATATCTAGGACTTACTTAAAACCTGCCTCCATCTCCCCAGTGCTTCTGCCTGCCAAACACCAGCAGGTGCCCTACATGTTTGCAGGCCATGCCACTGCTTGTAGCGAAGCAATCTCAAGACTTCATCTCTCTCCTCCACCCCCTCTAAAGTTCCCTTTTGCCAAATAGCATGTTAAGCTTGTTGGAGGTAGGAGGAGGCCTCCCAGTGAGGGACTGCAGAAGAGCCAGACAGCAGCATGCAGTACCCACTGAAATCCTGCTTATTATTTGGTATATTTGCTTTGGCATGTCTTGGACTCAGAGAGGAGGAAGCAGTGACAGGCAGCATGGCAATACCTAAGCCCTTCTACTTGAGGAACTTCAGGAATTTCTCCACCTTTGATCACATGCAGGTGCAGCTTTACTAGGAATAATCATAATGGAGCATGAATGCAAAGCTGCTGCTGGCAATTTAACCAGTCTATTGTCTAGGTCAAGTTTAAACACAGCTACCTGGCAATCAGCCTGCACCAGAACTCCCACTGCTCCAGCACCTGCTGAACTGTGTGAGATCCCTGGTGAGAGAACACCCTGCTATTTCCAAATACAGGCATCTAGCATCTGCTGGTTTGTCTTACTTGCCAGCAGAGGGTAGCATAACTGCATCTGGAAATAGCTTCTGAGGAGGAGCTACTGCACAAATTCGGATCTAGGAAACTAGCAGCATTCTTGCTGGGAAGGAACAGGCGGACCTGGCAATGGGAACTGGCACAGCCACGCACACACTCGTGATGTGAACAGAACCCACTGTCAGAGCAGATGCTCCGGGAAGAGATGCTGTACCTACAGTGAGCTCTGGACAAACCAAGGGTGAGAAAGGTTCCCACCCTCACAACCTTCAATTTTCAGAGGAATCTGTCTCTTCATTGGAGCCTTCACTTTCAGCATCTATTTTTCGGCGATGATGCAGTGGTTTCCAGGGAGAGTTTATCCTGGGAGAGTTACGGACATGAAAATTAGCAGTATCCCCGCTGGAGCTGATGGGAGCAGAGATGGAAAGCCCTGAAACCTGAGCTACCCTGAAAGAGAGGGAAAAAAAAAAAAAAAGAAGAGAAAAGGCTAAAGTGGGTACCCTAGCTTGTCATCTCCAGCCTTAACCATAGCAGTTTTGGAGTAAACTTGGGATGATTACTTATTCACAGCTAGCTGAGAGATGGAAAGATATTTATGGCAAAGAGGAGGAACACTGCACTACCACCTGCCAGACTTGCTGTGTGAATAATTTTTCTTCCTTTTAAAAGGAGATCTTCTTGGCTAGGCCTGTGTCCTCCAGTACCCCTTGTTTTCACCATCCATACAAAATGCCTCAGATCATTAGAGATTCTTCTGTTACCTCTAGATCCTTCTTTTAGCAAGTTTTTCCCAATGCTTCTGAAGTCTTTTTGAAGGATTTTGTTAGCTGCACCAAGGCACCCCAACAAAAGGCCTTGTCTGTTAGGGCTGCAGTGTTAGCATCTCTATTGTCTTACAGTTATTTAAATAAATAGAGACAGTACTTTACTGCAGCCATCCTCAACATGCCACTTTCCATCTGTTGTTATACTTCCTACTCCTTGCAACTCAACTTACAATTTCTCAAGTTCCTGATCCATGGCAGGGTCCAGAAACAAATCTCCTTTATCTGGCAAAGCCCCTGGAAACAAACAAACAAACAAGGAAAATATTACAGCAGAGTTAGACTATTCAGGGGTAATCTTAAAGAAAATCACTCAATTCATCATCCTAAATCTGTTCTGGAAGACAGAGAAAACCCTTCCTCATATCCACTAGAGAAATGAATCCTCAATGATCATGGGCAGACAAAGAATGATGGCTCATATTCTCCATCCTTCACACAGTAGCAGTGCTCAGATCAAACAGGGGGCACGCTAAGTGGTTTCTCACAGAACTTGAAGCTCTCAGAGATGGCAGGATCCATTGACTTTGCAGAACTACTGAGTGCACACTGTCTCAGGGAGAAGACTGACAGCTTCACGCTCCTGCTAATTGCAATATGTAGATGTCAGTGCCGGATGCTATCAGAGTAACAGGTTGTATGTGCCACAGCCTAAAGCACACCTAATACCACCCAGGGAGACATAGACTTCTGTGCTGCCTGTCTTTCTTGTGGTACACTGAGCTTGGGGATCAAAACACAGGTGTGAGACTCACTTTCCTTGCAATTCAGGAAGATTAGCCCTGACTGGTGCATGTGAAGCATGGGGTGGATGAGCTGTATTTTACTGTTGCTTGCTGCCTGGGTAAGAAAGGAAAAAGCTGTTTAATAAACAGGTACCCTCCCTCAGCACAAGGCTCCTTTTCACATTTGAAATTCCATTCAGGATGAAAGAGATGGGTGTAGTTCAGGACTGGAGCAGCTGGTTGATCACCACTGTAGAACAACACTAGAAGCTCAGAAAGAGCCCTCAGGAAGACAAGGCAAAGACAAAGAGAGACCTCCTTACTAATTCTGTAGTGAATACCTTACACAGGAACTATGGGAGGGTCTGATAGGTCAGCACCTAGATGATGGGAACTGCCTACCACAGCCTGGGCAGTTTGGTACAATGTGCAGTACGCTGCACATTGGGTAACGTGTACCAACAGTGCAGTGAGGAATACTCTTGTTTTTGAGGAGACCTGGCTGCCACAATCCGTAGCTTTGGGAAAGAGCTTTATACTGCTCTGTGGGAACACAAATCTGGTTTCTGGCCTTGGCACCTTGGTCCTGAAGGAGGGGCTGGAAAGACACTCTTGCACACAGACAAACTGGCAGCAGTTACCAAAAATGTAGCAGCAACAAGCATCTAACAAATTAGAAGCAGTTCAGATCAGACCCACCTCCCCCACTTGTTCCAGTTCTGGTCTCCCTCTCCTGCACATGAACAGGAAAACCTGGCATCCCAACAAGTGTTGGGAGGTCCAGTGCTTGCTTTCACATGCTCAGTTAAAAGAATAAGCGGCTAAAGCTTAACTTGTTTCTGTGTTTGCAGAATCTAGTATGGTCTCTGGGCATAAGAATTACTTGGGAGAGAATTATATAAAGGATTCACAAGTCCACACTGACATGAGTTAGCCTGCAGATTCCCATTTGCTTGACACTCATCAGTGCTACCCCAGCCAGAATGAGCTTCTCTAATCCCTACCCCTGCTCCTCCAGGGGTGCCACTGGCTTTGTGAGACTACAGAGGAAGCAAGCATCCTGACTGAAAGCTCCTTTGCCTGCAACTGCCCTTGTTGAAGGGCTTTGGGGAGCTTGTGATCTCCTACAGACCAAAGACTATTGAAATCACCCTTCAGGAGATTGAAAAACATCAGAAAAAGAATCCCCCTATCCTTGTCAAAATGCTAGCACCTGTCAGACTTGTGGTTGCTGCCCCTCCTCTGTGAGAGGCCATGGGAGGAGGCAGAGAGCCAGGGGCTGGGCTCACATTAATGGAAGGGAAAACCCACACACTTTGTAGATAACAAAATGGAAGCCTTGGGCAGGATCCTTTCTTTTTTCTTCTTTTTTTTTTTTTTCCATCTGTTTTGTTTGCTTTTGACTGGAAGTGGATTTTACTGGGCAAGGAAAAAACCATTTTCCATTTTGTTTGGTGCAATCCAGGCAACACCTTCCCCAGTGAGTACACTGATCCGTAAGCCTGTTTGCAGAAGAGACTGCAGAGCTGCATGCATGTACCTTTGACATATAATCTTCACCTTGTTGGGTAAGCAGCCCTTTCCCAGAAGAACATTAGTAGCTTAAATGGTTTGCTGGAAGAAGAGGCTCAGCTAGGGAGGGGGACACATCTATTATGACACACCTGTGTAAAAGAACAAATCCCCTGGCAAGGTACACCATCTTTTCACCGAGGCCTGTCTTTGAAATATAGGGACTGGGTGATACTCAAGCCTGGAAGTAGAGCAAGAGGATACTCAAAGAGACAAAAAGCCTACCCTGATTATTTTCTGAGATGAGTGAAAGTGTGTGAGCCTTTGCCCACTTCTCCTCATCAAATGCAGAAAGCCATTTTTGTTCAGCTTTGCAGGACAAGCACAACCAAGTCATATGAGAGCAGTATTGAATTATGTGTCTGAGTTATGTATGGATTACACACTGTGATTTGCCAATGCAACACTTTGCTTCCCTGCTCTAGAACTGTATTCATCATCACAACACAGAAATGAGCAGTGAGATGCTGCTTGGTGATCCCTCTGGTTTCCACAGTAATTTGGTACAGAGTTCTGTAGTAGAATTTTGCATTTTATACCACCAGATTTTCAGTAGGCCATAGATTAATATATTAGAAAGATAACAGTGATGTCAGGGAAGATGGGGCATGGCTGGGGAAGTCTGGGCTTAGCTTGAGTCTTTGAGCCAAGAAGTCATCAGAAGTTTTCCCATTAGGTGTGTCTTCTTTTTCTCATGGACAATGAAAGCAGTCATTTAAAATCTGTGGGAGCATAAAGGGCTAAAGCATAGGATGAAAGTTCACTTTAAGCAGCCAGCTACCTTACTTGCCTCCTGACAACCTCTATCCAACCTTTACAGCCAAGCATGCTAAAATGACAGTTCTGCTAAAATGATCAGCTACCAAAGAATAAAACATTGCTGTCTTAGGACACCATTTCACATCTAATTTTATTGGTGACAAATCTCCACATCTTCAAGCAGACAGTAAGGTGCAGTGTTTTAAAAATTTAATCCATAATAAAAATATGAAAAACTCCCTCACTCTCTGATGATGATGTAAAATCTGGAGCATAATTACAATGGGAATTCCAAAGAAATGCAGAATGACTGAAAATGTAGAGCTGTACCATTCAAAGAAATCTTACCTAGGGCTCTGTTGATCCCCTGATCCTTTGCAAGTGCCAGAAGGAATCCAGAGAAGGTCAGTCTCTGTGCAGTACTTAGCACTTCCTTCACAAGAGCAGAAGGTGGACAGCTAGGAAAAGAGAGACCAGAAAATCATCTTGTCTTTTGAACAATAATAATTTTTTCTAAGATCAAGTTCAAAATGGAAGAGCAAGCCCATTTATTGCTCTAACACTGTCACGCTGCCCTAGCTGTTTAAAATAAACAGCTAACAGGTTGTTTATTTAGTTCTGCATCTGCTCCCAGTTTGTTAAGTAAGACTTTTGAGCTGGGGTACATTCCTAAGAGCAGTCTTACCTTTCTCCCTAGTAAGGAAAGGGAGAAAAATCCAGATCTGCTCAGAGATATACACATGCCAACTTTTGACATATTCTTAAATTTAAAAAGAAAAAAAAAAAAAAAAAAAAGAAAGCAAAACAACACAAAAAGACTAGCCTTAGTTCAGTAGGGGATAGAAAAATACTAGGCCTTACTGTGTATCCTTGACAGACACTTTTTTCATAGTTTCTAGCATGTAGTAAGCAGACTTCTTTTGCCTGTGATCTGTAACCAGAAACCAGCTCCATCCTGGATTCCAATACGGACCAGCAGTGTGATCCTGTCTAGCTACTAAGGCTTCAGACTCGATCCACCCCACTGTTGCTTGCCTATGCTTCAGCTCTCAGGAACACACTTGCACTCATTTATCTCCAGATAATTAATGATGGTAGATTAACCTCTTCTTTATGAAAGTGTCCATGTTAAAGTAAGAAGGAAAACAGAGTCCCAAATCAAACAGCTCAAGAATGTGCTCAAACCCCCACGTCTCTTAGGCCCTTGTAATTGTTTTTCTCTTTTGGTTAAAGCAGTTCTGCTATGATGTCTCCAGTCATACTTCTCCAGTGAGATCTACACAGAAGTTAAACTGATGTATTTATTCACAGCTCCAATCTCACAAAAGGTCTCCAGAAACAGACTTTCACATCTGCGTTCTGGACTCTGTTCATACCTGTATTTTGATCTGTCACACAAGGTCTCTAGGCACTGGTAGAAGAGAGATGCCTCTACCCCATCAAGCTGGTTGCAGTCATTTGGGGGTTGCCGCTGCCGATGTTGCCCAGAGGATGATGTTGGCACGATCACAGTATTTGGATTCTTACCAGCCAATAGATCTTGATAAATAGCAGCCACACTTTCCAAGAATTCTGGAAAACCAGAAAGCAATTTACAACTCAGGGCTACAACCATCCAAGCATCCTCCTGACCTACCAGACCCAAGATTAAACTGTCATTCTCCACTCTGTGTTATGCATGACACCATCAGGAGATGGATGTTAGCACAACACTAAGGCATCCTGCGTATTCAGATCAAATATTGTGCAGGCACAAACAGCCATTTCCATATAAGTTGCTGCCATCTCCCTATTAGGACAATTATGAGAGACTAGCCATTCTGTTCAGATTTTTCCAAAGGAGACACAGGTTAGCAAACAGATGAAACAGTGGAGCATGAAAGCTAATGTCAAACATACAACTGGTTTGCAAAGTCTCAAAAATTTTCTTCCTTCACCTACAACCACCAACTAAGAACACACCAAGCTGGGAGAAAATATATAGAAATGCAACAGAAGCAAAAGGAGCAAATTAGTCAGGGCTCCAGGCTGTATCCCAGCTTGTCTCTGTGCTCCTCCAAAGTAAATATAACACAGGATCTAAAGGAAGGGCCAGGGCAGGTCAGGGCTAGAGCTGGCAGAAAGCCTCTCCCCAGGCTCCTCATACTACCCACTGTTTACTGCAAGAGCCTAATTTTAAACAAGTTTGTTTATGGATGTGGTCAGCAGTTTACAAATCTAGATTCCATTTGGAGTGGTTTGTATGTGTGTGGGTTGGTGGGAGAGCGTATGACAGGCTGCATGTGTGCATTGTGCCTGGGTGAGCAGGACTGGGAAGGGATGCTTGAGTGTGTACACAAGGGCGTGTTTGTGAGGACTGCAGTGGCATTTGTGTCCCAAGTGAATGGAAGTGTGGTGATGTGCGTGAGGCGGGTGGAGAGGAAAGGCAGTGTGTCAGCCCTGTGGCTGCACTGAGGTTTTGCAGCTCAGTGGAAACATTTGTTGTATCAGAGAAGAACTTTCCAAACGCATTTTCTGCCCACAGCTAAAGGCATTGCAAGCCTGGTTCTGCCCAACCTAAAATGACCATTTTAACTGGTTTTCTTTGATGACTTGTCATGGATAATGTTGTGATATGTGCGGGGGAGTTGCAGGGTAAGTATACACAAAAAAGTACTAAGAAATAGAGATGTTTGTATTAGGAACAGCAGCTGACTTGTAACTGCTGCAAAGATGAAAATTGACAAGTTGGATCAGATCTCCAGGCCACCCAGGGCTACACTCTGACCAAAAACTATGCTCCATCACAGCTTCTAGCCAATGTCTCTTAGTACCTCAGAGCTGGCTCCTTTTGCCTGTTTAAGGCCAAATGAGAGCTATCTCCATCAGAAGGAGCTAATAGTGTGAGTGGTCAGAATCCCATGAGCTTATGTTGCTTTTTGAAAGTGCACTATGCTGGGAGACATGAGTGCCCCACAGCACCCCGTGCTTGGAAACATATCTCATCCTGACAAGGGAAATCCTTCCCTCTTTTTCCCTACCAACGTAGTTCCCTAAATGAGATTTCCTCTCCTCAACCACACTTTAGGGGACTAGGACAAACAAGCCAACATATTTTAAAGCATTTCTCTGCACAGGAGAAATTCCTGAATGTTTATCCAAGTTTCTTCCCCTTGCCTCCTGAACTTAGTTTAAAAATACCTCAGGATTTTCACAGATGTGTATGTGTTGGTGAGTGTATGTAAAGATAAACACGCACAAATTGTTGTTATTTGACATGTAATTTTCCTGTCAAGAATTTTAAAAGAAGTACTCCATCTACTTAGCATTGGGAAGAAAGACAGAATATGAGAAATGACCAATAATATGGGAAGGCAGACAACGATTAACTGCTGCTTTCCAATTAGGGGCTCTCAAAGGAAAAAAAAAGTGGTTCTTCATGGAAGAGGTGGCAGGCCTGTGCAACCCCTTGCCAAAGGGTGTTGTGAAGGTTAAATGTTTACTTAATTTCATTTGGAGAAGTCTTCAGGAGAGGAATCCAGTAGGGATTCCTAAACCCGCAGAAACTATATGCATTTCAGAGAGATTCTGAGCTGAAAACAGATTGTGGTTGGGTGAGTATTAGGGAAGAGAATTGTACCCATTTGCCCAATTCCTTTTTTTTTTCAAGGCACCAGCTGTTGCCAGAATGTTGTGCTTGCCTTGCTCTAGAATCTTCTGATCCCATTTCCAGCAGCACCCAGTACTTTAGAGGCAGAAATGCTGCGTTACAGAGTTATGCAAAAACATGTTCCTAGTAAAAGTTAATTGTTAGTTGCTAACATACACTTGATAAAGATAGAAAACCATGTCTCGGGGCTAAGACAAATATATGCATAAGCTTTGGCCATTAGAAGTATCTTGCTATTCAGCGAAATTTGAAAATTCTTTATGAAACCTCTTTATCTACTGGTATCAGTAATAACTTTTTCACAATAGATCCCATTATCTATATGCTGTCTGTGAAAAACCATACACACAAGATTTTAAAAAGTGAAGGGATATGGAAGCTGGAAGGTTGTAATGACATGCTAGTGGGTGAAGTAAGAAGCTTCCCAGTATTTACCTGAATAGTAGAATTGGATCTGGAAAGCAAAGAGGAAATCAGAAAAAGACATCAGACAATCCATAGCATCATCCATCAGCACAATCCTAGGAGTAAGACGAGAGAAACAGTTTAGCATCTCCAAAAGGATGAAATCTTCAAGCAGGAATACCAGGTCTACAGAAAGAGCAGGTAGGGATCTATGTGCAACTGAGGACAGCTAGCAGCTTGGCTCAGTGTAAGAAGTTGGGAAAGGGGAATGGGAATAACCATCAATGCACAGGTGTGGACATCCTAAAATCAAACAAATGCAGCTTGATAAACTGTGATGAGATGATGCTGAATGCCAAAGCTATTACGTGCTTCACCTTCAGGACATATAGAACAAGATGAGCATTAAATGTAATTCAAAGCCTGAGGGACATGATGGAATAAACACTGGCATTAAAAAAAAAAAAAAAAAAAAGGGTTCACATGACTATATAAAGAGCAACTGTGCTAAAGACCAGGCTTTTACATGAGAATAAAACTGGTGTGAGCAGAATGAGACTTACGCTGTTATTTTGTATACCAGAGTTCACTGAACTGGGCTATTTTCAGATTTGTGAGTATAATAGCAGCGATTAGCTCCCAATCTATGGTCAAACCTAACCTGACTAAAAAGGAAATAACACAATGTCACTTTTGCACCAACCATCAGCTTTAAAATTACCCACTGTAAACATCCGATCTTCCTTTCTTGATGAATGAATCAGTCTCTTTTCATATATTATCAGGTCGAGTTTCACAGAGACTGGAATCTTCCTAAACCAGTGACAATGCTTCTTTCTCTCTGCAAAGTCCTAAGTATATTTAGGGAGTTTCATGCACCCCTATTTTGAACCACGCAAATGGCAAATGCGTCAGCCAGAAGCCATAAAAATGAAGTAGAAGTGAGAGCAAATTCCACCTTCTCCTTTCAGGAAAAAAACTGCTAAGAACTAAATTATGCCAAAAACATTCATAAAAATGAAAACATCATTCTGGTCACTATCACTACATAAGGATGAAAAGCTCTGAAGAGGGGAATATTAAACTTGGGCTGATCAATGATAGGTCAGACTAGTAAACAGAAGGAAACACTCCACTTATAGGAAAAGAAAAAGAAAACAAACCAGAATATTCAGAGGATGACAAAGAAAGTGATTGGTACTTCCTTTCAGCTGTGTGCTTTCCTGGACCACCGCACAGCACTAAGCAGAAACAGGTCTTCTGACCCTATCTGGTCAGTATCTATCATATCATGCCATATGAGGATTACCATTTCATTACAGCCAAAGTATAGGTCATCTTGTAGGACCCTTTTGAACATGGGGCCAAATGTGATCCACAAACCAATTCCTGCAGCCTCAATAGTCTAAACACGTTGCTGGCAAAAAGCTGTTATGTCTCATGTAGAAGACTCCAGGGAGCTGTGTGGGAGGCTGACCTAAAAGAGCTACAGGATCTTGCAAAAGGCTTACTTTCCTGCCACTCAGACCAGTTCTGTTCGCTGTGGCAAAATCAAACATGCAGAGCAGCTTGAATTAATTACCTTAAAGAAGAAAGACTGAGGCTAGGAGAGTCCCCAGGAGAAAACCCAGTATTTAAAACAAAACTCTTTGAAGATGTCAAAGTGCTTCTGATTTATTTATTATGTTCCAGAAGCCTCCTCCTCCTCCTGTCTAAAGAAGCAGTAGCTTCAGTGCTTAATTCTCACTAATAAGCATGTTACTGAAGTTGTCAGTGGCCACATCAAGGAAATGGCTTTGAAGCTGGCAGGCTGAGCATCTTCATCTCTCAGGCAATACTACTCAGCTTCTAGCATTTCCAACCACTCTTTAAGCACTGGAAATGCTATGGGCCCCATCACTGAGCAGCTGCGCTCCCTGCTTTGAAATGCTGGTCTATCTCCTAGATACCCTCAAAGCACCAGCTCCAAAGCTGTTGCTGGTACATTTCTACATCCTGGAGAAGTAGAAGAACAATGATGGACAGTTTTTAAATATGTTTTGTGGAGAAACAACATGATATCACCTTCATGACAATAAACTAAATTTCATTTCTTAAATCTAAAGCTATGGTCAGTGTGTGTGCTCTGCAGCAGCAATTTCCACTCTCCTACTTAAAGAAGAGCATCAGGAAGCAGGCAGAAGTCTGGGAATTTAATATTTCTTGCTTTTAGAGATGGCAAGGAGCCTCAAAGGGGTACTGTATGGCACATATGTAACAGGGGAATGTCTAAATAGAAGCAGGTGCACTCTGGTGCTGGGTTACTGACTCCACTTGGCCCAGGAGTCTGCACTCCGGAAATGTTGAGAAGTTTTAAAATCCAATACAATCATTTATGAGGAGATTGACTGCAGCTGGCTATTTCCCCACATAACTAGCTGACTGTGCAGCCAGGGAAGCTGAGAGAGCATCATATGCAATGTATCTGCACCTCTTCCCTGAAACAACCGGCAAGGAGGGAATTCCAGACAGCAGGACCTCAATTGAGGACAAAATCTGAAAAATCTGAACTGGAAATCAAGAGTTCATCAGGTAGCCAGTTTTTCAAGGGACTGTTTATTCATTCTTGTCCAAATTAGCCTTTCAGCCCTTGGGGGCTTGGACTTGGTTACAAGGTTAGTAGCTGTAGTAGTTGGCCCTCCGTTAATAATGGATATTAAGAAGAAAATGTGGAAAGAACTGAAGAAAGATGCCTACACTTGAGGGATTCTGGTAAGGATGTAGTGGTCTTTTAGGGTTCAAGCGGGTTTGGCTGGCAGGAAAGCCTTGCTAGTGTGTCAATGGGGAAACTTTGTGATCTGCTGACTACAGCTAGAATTTCAGAAACCCAGACTAGACAGGATGTTCCCAGGACAAATTCTAGACCCAGCAAGTTGACCAGGCAAAGGACTTTTACCGCTCTCTACTACCATTAAGGGCTAACTGACTCTGTGTGTCTTAAAGCCAGGCTGGATCAAATGGGTCTTCAGAGACTTGGTTTGTTTACTGATACATGGAGGCAAAAATAAATGGAACACACAAAAAGGGTAAGATCTGCACTCTCAGGCAATCTATTACCAGTGGGTGTACAGGCTTTCAAGACCCACTTCCGTTAGCACTTACCAATGCAATGTAAGCTCCCATACTGCATAAACCAGCTCAGGACTGGTTTATGTATTTACTCTATGTACTACTCTGCTCACACTACTCCAATGCAGGCAGTGAGGTCCTTGTGTTTGTTACAAGAGAAAAATCAGTGCTCTGGTAAGGTCCTGAGATTCCAGCACCAAACAGGAAAAATTTCTTCCTTTTCTGTCCTTTGCAGTTTCATGATTCAGAAAGCCAGAAGGTGCCTCTGAAGATCAAAGGTATCTCTGTAGATAAAAATCTTTAACATGCTAATGCCTATGACCCTTTGAAGAAAAAAATGTCCAAGAAGTCTCATAGACACACATAACTTGTTTTTTGGGCAGCATGACCACCTCTGCGTCTGTGTGGCACCAGGAATAGAAAAATAGAGGTCTCTGGTGTCATGCTAACAAAACCAATACTGTTGTAACCTCTGTTCCTCTAACATTGCCAGGTCTTACTCCCTTCCAGTGTTTGTTATCAGTGCATAGCAACAGCTCCTGGACAAGTGGAGAGTACCGTGTTGTGAGATCATCTCAATCATGCAGCACAGAGAATACAACTATGACTGCTTTCTTCCTAGGAGCTCCAATAATGACACAGCTCCTGGCTCTATCAGCAAACACTGTGGCTACTGCCACACCTGAATTCCTTTCCCAAGGCAAATTAGCAACAAAATTGCTGGGATTGTGCAGAGTGAAAGAGGAACAGTGTCAGGAGGTCTCTGTGTGCCATTCCCACTCTTCAAGGACTCAAACAGCTGCTTCCAGAAGACTGATTCACGTTTCCGACAGGCAGAACCAGAGAGAACGATAGGAAGTGGGAACTGGACTGAGTAGCAGCATGGGATGTGAAAAAGGAAAAAAAGAGCAACAACTGGAAGCAAAGAGAAAGATGTTTCAGAAATATGGCAAGTTTTATTAAAATTGCTCAATCGGATTATCTTCCAACAGAGTAATAGCATTGTCTAAGTAAATCTTAACCAGCCAGCAACAAGAGTGAGGTCATCCCCACCTGAGCTGGGGTGCATCTGACAGAGATTTCGTTTCTCCCTAACACCTGCTCTCAAAGCCTGCTCGCCTGTCTCTAAGGCATGCACACAACAGTGCAGCAGGCCCCTGAATGGGGCCTCTAGTTTACAGCAGCCTTGTGGATTAAATTCCTTGACACAAACATCATAACATGTGTAGATATGCTGAAGTCTCCTTTCATGCACCATCACAAATTCCTGCTCAGCTCAGCTGGAACCCTATGAAATGCACACCCACACATGGGACTGGTGCTGTTGTACCTCCATGAAAGGAAGCAGCAGATATATTCCTGCTGCAGGGTTAGCATTCTTTCCCAGTCTGGCATTGGAGGCCAAGCAACTGCACTTTGTTGGGCCCAGAAGGCACACGGATGAGCCAGAGGGAAAAGCAGCACTCATCTTTTAGTATTAATTGAAGCAGCACAGCTTTAATTCAGATACCAAGACATAGGTACCAGGGAAGAATTCAGTCAGCCAGGTGGAAGTACTGGCAGATGGATAACACTTTTACACTCTCCTGTCTTAGTATTATTTTCAAGAGACTCTGATGCTGAAGAAAGAAATGAAAAATACTAAAAACAAGGACCTCTTCATTATTCAGACCATGAACAACAAAGGAGCAGCTAATATCCTGATCACATGTCTGGATTCTGTTTCCAGTGTTATATCTGTGCCCACTAAAACACTTTAATTTCCATGCCCCTTCTACTGAGATGGCTAGGAATAAAGTATTCATTCAGTAATCTTGCTGTGATCTAAGACCTAAGATCTGAGAAGACCCCCTATCCCAAAAGATGCATATATTGTATTACATTTTCACTATCAGATAGTTAATAATCAACTGATGGACAGTTGGCTGAATATGAGCCAGCAGTGTGCCCAGGTGGCCAAGAAGGCCAGGGGTATCCTGACTTGGATCAGGAATGGAGTGGTGAGCAGGACGAGGGAAGTCATCCTGCCCCTGTACTCAGCATTGGTGAGATCTCACCTCGAGTACCGTGTTCAGTTTTGGGCACCTCAGTACAGAAAGGACACTGAGGTGCTGGAGCAGGTCCAAAGAAAGGCAACAAGGCTTGTGAAGGGCTTGGAGACTATGCCCTACAAGGAGAGACTGAAGGAACTGGGGACGTTCAGTCTGGGGAAAAGGAGGCTGAGGACAGACCTTATTGCTCTCTTCCAATATCTGAAAGGTGCTTACAGCAAGAGCAGGGTTGGTCTCTTCTCACTGGTGACAGGATGAGGGGAAATGGCCTCAGGTTGCGCCAGGGTAAGTTTAGGTTGGATATCAGGAAACACTTCTTTACAGAAGAACAGGGTTGTTAAGCACTGGAATAGGCTCCCCAAGGAGGTGGTTGAGTCACCATCCCTGGATGTGTTTAAAAGCCATTTGGACGTGGTGCTCAGGGTCATGATTTAGCAGAGGGTTGTTAGAGTTGGGGCAGTATGGTTAGGTCGTGGTTGGACTCCATGATCTTCAAGGTCTTTTCCAACCTGAGTGATTCTATGATTCTATTCTAACTGTCTGGGCTGGACTGGAACCAACAAACACTGTCAGTAAAAAAGTCCCATAAAACATTATCAGTGCCCTGAGTCATCTATCTGTTTTAGGCCTTGCCTAGATTAAAATAAAATTTCGAACAGATTAGCTACCGTGTTCTTAGCTAAAGTACTTTAAAACATTAGCAATTTACCTGAGTTTAGTACCTTTTAAATGTGATCAACCACAGGAAGCTGGTTGATAAATACATTTTAAATGATATCAGTTAAAACCACATTGGCTAACATTAAATGCAACTCACCTTGAATTTAGAGCAATATTCTGCATTCATATGCTTTAAATATATATTCTTTCTCATTGCTAGAAAAAACACTGTTTTTAACCCCAAATCATGATATCTCTTTTCCCCAGAATCTTAAAAGCTGAAGGTCTCTGTTCGTACCTTTATCCACAAACCTAGTTCCCAAGTCCACTTGTGCAGGACTGATCTTGCTCTAAAAGAGTAGATGAGAACCCACCTTGCTGCTTTCTGAGTGAGTTCCATAGGGAAGTCAGGGCAGAGCAGCTGCAGTAGGCAGTGGTATTCCTGTGCTGTCAGCAAATCTGCAGGAAAGGAGAGGTGAGAAAATCACAATTTTTTTACAGGATGATCTCTCCCCATGCTTCATCTCTTGAAAAAATTCATGCTCTTTTCTACCCTCCTTTTAAGACTGAATACGTAGCAACAATAAATCCACTTCCTTATTGCCTAGGCCCTCAGAGCTGGACTCTGCAGATGGGACTTCAAGTGAACCAGACAACCAGGGGCCTAATAGAGGGGAAACACTTCTAAAGCATTTCCATCAGAGAAGCTGCTAGCAGGTAGTGGTGATTCAGTGTGACAAAGAGGTAACCAAAACAACGCAGTTTCAAGTGACAACACAGTTTGGTTTGACTTGAATGTGGAAAAAAGAATCATTTCAAAGTCACTTAAATTTGCTGAAATTTGCTGGCATGATGACATTCACCACAATAAGCCTGAAAACCATCCACAGAACATCTGGCAGCAGTAACAAAGGCAAACAAGGCTTTGGGGTTGTATATGGAAGGCTACAGAGTATAAACCACAGACGTTATTACTTTGGCATTTGGTAAGGCAGCTGGACGGTCTCTTTTTGGAATAATGTGTACAAATCTGGTCACTGTATTATAGGAAGCAGAGAACTAAGATCCAAGAAACACAAGAAGAGCAATCAAATGATTTATGTTTTAGGGAGCTGCTTTGTGAAAGGATGGTCAAGAAAGGCCTCTGTGGTTCAGCAAAAAGAGTCATAGAGGTGAATCTTATGGAATTTTATAGGATCCCAAGGGAATGAAAATATATTGTTGTCAAAAAGCCCAACCTGATTGTGTGTTCATGGTCCAAAAGCCTGTGGACTGGAGTTATGGAGAAGACTAGCTGAATGGCAGCAATTTTGCAGTACTTCTATATACAGAAAAATGTGAAGTATGAAAGAAAGAGCCAGGGGTGGAAGTAGAGCCAAGCAGTAGTTGGGGAGGGAATCCAAAGGGCACAGGCATTAGGACTGAGGTACAGAACATCAGTTCTGTTACCAGAGACACATCTTAACCTTCCATCACCCCTAAGCTCCCATTCAAATAATCAACCAAATATACCTATCCCAGCTGGCAGCCACAACTTCTTGCTATCTCAAAGCTAGATGGTTCCACTAAGAGAAAAGAAAAACTAAGAGAAAGGGAAAATGCTACAACTCTGTCAGACATTTCAAGAGCCAGGTATGCAGCACCAAAGGACATTTCACTGCAATGTCCAACCCAGCCACAGTAATTTTTTCAGTGCTGACTACAGAAACATTGCGGGATCACTGACATCAAAATCAGGTTACAGACTTTACCTATGTTATTAGTGAGGGAACTGGAGGAAAGAGGGGAGAGAGCTAATATATTTTCTGTTCAGAAAACTATAAGACAAACACTACCTAGAATTATTTATTTCACACTGCTCTCGGGAGGACTTTCTACTTGATAAAGTACCCTTGATTTCAAGTCATGATACTAAAAGGTTATTTTGAACAATAAGTAGAAACATTTTGTTCAGCCTGGAAAAGCCAGCTCTGCAGTCAGAAATCAGAGAGAATACAAGGGAGTCCCAGCTTGTGCAGGTCACAATACCGTTATAGAGATTTGTACAGCCTGCTCTTCTACAGGGATAAATACATCAGAATCTCTCTTCTTCCCACATAAGAACTGAATTCAGATTTCTGTGATGGCACTGAAATGTGAAATACCTTAGAGAATATGGAGGGCACTATAACTTCTTTTGTATTGTCATTTCTAACTACAATGCAATTCAGAGGCTGATCTCTGTTGAAGACACTTGGTCTTTCAGCCATCATGTGACTGAGCTTGGGCTATGAGGGTGTCCAGTACCACTGAGCTTTTAAGTATAACCACAAGATACTATTGAAAGTGTCCTGCTTACTACAAGCAGTAAACTGCTATTTTTAACAGATTTTTCAGCCAAATGCCAGGTCACAATTTATATTTCATTAAACATAGAAAGAGAAAAGTTCTTCTCTTTTGTTTTGTTATATTGACATTCATTTATAGCAATACAGATTTTGGTCCTAATTTCTTAAAGAAGCTCTTTGATCATTTAAAGAACATGCAAGCTTCATGAAATCATCTTCAACTAGCTCAACACAGGGAGAAGGTTAGTAGGTGGGCATAAAAAAACTCTTCTGAAACACATTTTCTCATAGTTGAAGAGTATGGTGTGGGCTACTCTTCAAGACCTGTGGGAGGATAATTCTCCCACAGACTTCTGAATCTCAGCCTTATCTTTCTCCTCAAAGGTAGGAGGAGGTTTTCTGTGAAAGTTGTTCACAGACTCTGTCAGGTTTCTAGACAAAAGCAGCTTAAAAGGGTAACTGGGCCCTAAGTAAGCATTAGTTTTGAGGCACAAAGATATCTCATTGCCTGGAATTAATGTGTTTTTAAAACTTAATAATCATTTATGTTGTCTTTTACTCCTCATTCTTTGTTTTGAATTAGAGCACCATCCTTATTCCTCCACCGGAAAACCACAAAGCAACATATAGCTAAAGCAGAAGTCTGCCTAAAAGGACATTAGGAAAGGATAGCAGATATCCTCCCCAGCCAGCAAATCAGAAGGCAACATTTATTTTCAGTACAAGTGAAGAATTAATTACAGTTCTAGCCTTTGAGCAAGTAGTCTATTTAGATGGGAACTGCATGCAAAGCTGAAGCAGCACAGAGAAGTTCCTTCTGTAAAGGAAGAAGCTTGTTCTTTACTCTTTTTCTTCTTGCTGCTTATGCCTGGAGAGAATGCACCCTCAAATGAGTCACCAAAGCATGCAGGCTTTTAGACCATAACATAACTCAGCCTGTAGACACCCCAGGCATCTGACCAGTAAATCATACCGATTTCTCTGACTAGGGATGGATACCTATTAAACAGGAAGGGGGATCACCGCAGACCCTAGGAGGTGTCTACAGCTTTCTGTGATGACTGTTTTCTTATTCCCTACAGCAAGGTCAGCGAAGACCATACAGAAAATTACTTTTGCCCATGAACCATACTGCCTGCCAAGAGCTGCTTGGAATAAACAAGGGCAGTTTGGTGTATGACCACATTGCTCCTTCCTGTCTCCAGGCCACAGCTGAGTAAATAGTCTCCAATGCTGCAAGATGAAGAAAGAAAGAAAAGAAGGAAGGTATCAGTCAGAATAAGTGAAAATTGGAATCCACAACTGCCACTTTGGTTGCTACCACAAAATTACTATATCTCAAGTTCCAGTAACAAATGAAGCAAATCAAAGAGTTTAAGGCTGACCCTATAGCAGAGAAATATATGCACTCTACCATGATTTCACAGTGCAACAAACTTGATCATCTCATGTGCTTAAGGATGAAGAGAAACTGCAATCTCCACATTAACCATCTTCATTTCAAAGTAACACTTTTCTACTGCAAGATAGCTAATCAATAAATTGCAGAGTGATTCTAAAACAGCAGTCCACTAAGAAGGAGCTGGGAGACTTAACAGAAAAAGAAAAGTAAATTGGTATGGCTAAAGATGAAGAGGAAGCTCTTTAACTGTTTACTCACAATTTTTGCTGTACTCGTCTCCAGACTCCTGCCTAGTCTGTATACTGCTGCTGCTGTCACGATACCAGAAAAATCCAGACTGTTGTCCACCAGATCTCACCATCCAAGATCAGTTTATTGTCCATTAATGCCAAGGGAGACTTGTCCTCACATTTCAGAGACACAGTGGCCAGAGATGTTCATCCAAGTGGTACAGTCTTGGAAAACAAACATGCCACTTTCTGGATAAAAATGGCCAGCACTTGAAGGCAGCTGCTATGTATTTCCCTGGCTTTTAAAACCTAGACTCTTCTACCACCTCTGTTTCCTGTTTGTGTGTAGCTGACAGGTGGCACCTAACACAAAGCAAAGCAAGCTCTAGGAATGCTAAATGATGCATTTAGCCTGCTATTGGTGTCCTGAATGAGGTGTATTGTTAGACACACCTGAGCTATCTTTAAAGCTTTAAAGTCTTTCATGTTGACAGCAGCCTAGCCACAGATGCCTGGAGCTCAGTGATGGCTGTAAAATCTACCTAGGAAGCCAATAAATATTTAGGACAGCCTGAACTGAAGTCACTGCTGCTGTATCTAGGCTGCTTTCGGCACAAGACATAGTTATCCACAGTGCTGTCACAACCTATGACAGCTATAAATATGCCAAAAGTAGTAGGAGAATACTTATTGCAGTTGGTGTATGAAATTTGACCCAAAAAGTCACATTAGTAACTCCCCAGAAACAGAATGATTGCCTTGATGGGAATAAGAAACTTAAATTTATATTCATCATCTTGTATATACAGCTATCCAAGAAGGCTGGAGCCCTGGGCAATGTAGCTTTCCACTCAGGATTATGGTAGGACACAAAATTTCCACAGATTGTTTTTCTACCACAGCCATGAAGTCATTCAGGAGTCATAAAGTCATAATCACGGTAAATCAGTCTCCTGGAAATATAACAGAGAAAAGCCCAATAAATAACAAAATGTACTTTGAAATGTTGGGAGAATCTTTCCTGGCCTTTAGATTTTTAGAGTTTCTGATATACACACTATCACATCCTTAGGATTTTCTCTTTATATTTACAAAAAACAAATAAAAAAGAAAAAGCCTCTGAAAATAAAAGTCCAGATGTTCTCATGCTGCCTACAGGAGTTGCAATTCTACAAAAAGAGCAATATAAACACACTCATAGTTAATAACACAATTTCACAACTTCCATCTGACTAAGAGGCTGTGCTCTTCACATCTTATTTGCAGGATAGTGATAACCTAATGTCCTCAGCTCTCCATACATCTGGCACTAGTAGCAAACAGAAAGCCAAGAGCTCTAGGAAAATGAATCTAAGCATAGCACTTGATCAGCAATAAATTTATAAAATTTTACATTGAGAGATTTTATAAACTATCAGGAAAAAGACCTGTTGTTCTAACTTGAGGAAATGATTGTTTAGGAAGATTTTGAAAGAAAATAAAAACATTCAACCACTGTTT